TATAATAACAAGGATGCCGATGCCACTGCTAAAGCTCGAAATAATAACTGAAGTGGCAATAAATTATAACTAAAGTAGGAACTCATGCCTTAAGGCTGATTTGTCTCAGAATATCTTAAAACTAATATCAAAACAGCTCGCAGAACGCGAATAATAAAATTAGGTTATAATAATAAGGTTTATAACATCCCGTTGGAATATTAAAATTCGTAATACTATTGAAATATATAATAATATTGGAAATATACTATTGGAATGTTAAAATTCGCAATTTTAAACTATAAAAATGACATGTTACTTATTTTCCAAATATTATGGTATTCCATTTAAAATTGCTTTACGAATCGTTGTTATCCTCAGCTTCAAAGCAAGTCACTGAAGTTAGGGCGCCGATTGATTTAATTCATTATTCTACTAAGAGTTTCAATTGTAAACAAATGGCTGCCTCATTTAGGCCGAGCGCTACTTAAACTTTTATTTCTAAAACTTTTAAATAATTCTACAACTACTGCATGCAGTTAACTAAAGGCATAGAAACCGTAACCGGAACATAAGAACAACATAATTCAACCACTTTTAAAGCAAAAAATGCACAATTTACCAGCACATAAGAATAAAAAAACAGAGGTCGCTAATCCTGGTACAAGGGTGGGTTTAATGTATGTTTACTAAATACAAGGTGTAAAGAAAGTATTGTAGCAGTTAATACTCTTTAAACGCGAACATTGATCTGTTAACTGCGTCAACGCATACACTCTCTTTTTTTTTTTTTTTTTAATTTTTGCCTTTTCTAATATAAGATAACGCACTGATACGGATCCATTTGTACGTTGTTCCCCTTTTTTTTTTCAGTGAAGGCTTAAGTAATGTCGGTAGTTTCAAAGTTTGTTCCGGAGAATTTAAAAAAAAAAAAAAAAAAAAAAATTATTAAACAATTCGTACTCGATAACTCTTTTAGTAAGTAGAAATGATAACATTTTTTTCGTTTTCAGAAGTAATGCAACCATTGCGATATTTTATTTTACTTTACATTTCAACCTACTACCATTTTCTTTTCTTTTCTTTTATTTATTTTCGTGGAAGTGAAGAAGGACGATTAAATGTCTTTCTGGAGAGCTTCAAGATTTTCTTCTTTTATTGGTATTTCTTTGTAGTAGCAACTGAAAATTTTTTCCAATACACTTGGTTTATAATTTTCCATTAAATGCTTAAAAAAGGGGGTTATCGCGAGTTCTTCCAAGAAAAGAACTTGTCTGTTAATCGAGTTTATTCGCAAAAGAAATCTTCGAATTATGCTTGCCTTTGCCAGAAATTTCAGCTTCTGCGAGTCTGCCCTTTCAAATAACTATGTTTGCCGACGACATGGCAGCCGGCTTAAATGGCATGGCAGCCGGCTTTAAGTAAATATGCGACATTATTAAAACCTCTTGCGTTTGTGTGCATTGGATAGCTTTGGGCGGCTGTTGTACCTATTCATAGAACAATGTTTATTATTCGTTGAAAAGAAGCATTTAAAACACGATAGACGCGGCTTAATGTGTTCTCGATTAATATTATTATTCGGATACTGTTATCGAATTGCCAAAAAACGGTCCCGTTTATATAAGAGAATATGAAAAAGATATCGCTTATTGGGATCAACAGTCCAGTTAATAGGATCAATTAAACTGAAATAATGCTGTCAAATAAAATATAAAAATCTCTGATTGATTTGATTTACTTGATTACGGCAAAGCACTTGAGGGCTATCTGTGTGAATGAAGGGATGCCTTCAGGAAGGACTTTCTAAGGAAACTGGTTTGTATCGATTTTACACATCGGGAAGACCACGAAAACGGCTATAAAGCCAGTTTGGGGTCTAGAACTTTTCGCTCTGTCGCTGACAGCTGATTCGCCGTGAGTCGTTTCGCCGTCAAGTAGAAATGAAATAGGTAATACAGGTTGGTTATAATATATGTAATTGTTTACAAATACGGAATATAAAGAACTTATACTTAGTTTATAAGGTATTTTCTCATTGCGTTCTGCATGCCTTCGTGGTGTAACGCATACTCGGCGCGTATTCGAGAGGCCCAGGTTCAGGTCCTGGCGAGAGCATTGCTCATTTTTCAGGTACATTCAGTGGCGCCTGAACTAAATGGTGGTGGATGAAGATTCTTCACTACCAGGATTTGGAGACTGGGTCCTCTAATTCCCAGGCGCCCTTTAAAAGGGGGAGTATATAAAGTATTTTCTCCCTCCTTTCTGCATGCCTTCGTAGTGTAACGGTAGGATACTCGCGGTGTATTCGAGAGGTCCAGGATCGAGTCCCGACGAGGGCATTGCTCATTTTTCACGTACTTTAAAAAAAAAAAAAAAAAAAAAAAAAAAAAAAAAAAAAAAAAGAACTAATAACTTTACAAATTAATTAGTAAATTATGCAGTATCAAATGGTTACAGCCGAAAACATCGCGGCAAAAACATCGCAGACGAAAATGTCCCAGAGAAAACAACGCAAGGCGAAAACGTCGTGCTACAAAACATCGTGGGAGAAAACATCGCAAAGAGAAAACATCGCAGTTCTAAAACACATCGTGGTACAAAACATCGTCGTAGAAAATAAAGCGGTTCAAAAACATCGCAGTTTAAAAACATCGTCGTCGAAAATATCGTGGTAAAAAATAAAGTATCTACAAATCATCGCATGACGATAACATCGCAGACATGCTTTTTTCAGGCATGCTTTAATAAGTGTAAATGGATATTCCCATAATGATTTGTGAGTGCAAGATGGAAAGAAGGATAATTTTTTACTTTCATATTTTTTTTTATTAATTAATACATTTTTGCTGAGAAAATAAAAAGGAAACTTAAGCATAAAAAATTAATGCAACTTATAGCACTTAATAGAATTTTAAACCGACATAGTTAACTAACAAAGGCCATTAATAAATCATTTTTATAAAGTTTTTACTGGTAATATTTCATGAAAAGTATAATCTATAAGTTGCATTTAATTTTCTATGCTTAAGTTTCCTTCTTACGTTTTCAGCAAAAATTCATTAGTTAATAAAATGAAATTAAATTAATGAAAGTAAAATTTATCCTTCTTTACACCTTGCGCTCACAAATCATTATGGGAATATCCATTTACAATTATTAAAACCTGAAAAAAGCATGTCTGCGATGTTATCGTCATGCGATGATTTGTAGATACTTTATTTTTTACCACGATATTTTCGACGACGATGTTTTTAAACTGCGATGTTTTTGAACCGCTTTATTTTCTACGACGATGTTTTGTACCACGATGTTTTAGAACTGCGATGTTTTCTCTTTGCGATGTTTTCTCCCACGATGTTTTGTAGCACGACGTTTTCGCCTTGCGTTGTTTTCTCCGCGACGATTTCGTCCACGATGTTTTTGCCGCGATGTTATCGGTGGACACCGTATCAAATAGAACAAATTTATCACATTTCATAATTATGGCCAAATTTTTGATATTAACAGAAGTTGTATTATCGTTTCTAAAATTATGCAGGTACAATATTTAAATGATTCGACAAAATTTCTTAAAATTTTAATCAGCTAGTTCAGAGAAATCACTCATGCAAACAAGAAATTCACATTTTTTAAAAATCTTAATTGAAAACTGTATTACTCTGGAATCTTGTTCGGACATTACTCTCTTAAAATTAGTAAATATTAGAGAGAGGTATAAGTTAACTTTTATGTCGTGCGTAATGATATATTTGTATAAAATTGTGTACAAAAACATTTTACATATTATTCAAAAGCTTTTACTGACTCGAAGACGAAATGGCATGAAGACAGAACGGCGGCATCGAAATAGACGCGGCAAACAGTTCTATTCATGGCAATTTTTTGGCCTTGAATCGAACCTAGGTCAAATTACCAGTGTTCGGCAACTTTACGACCGCTCGGCCGCTGTTGGGTTAAAATCGTTGAATGAAGTCGAAATATAGTATAGAAATTGTCAAATGACATGAGACATCTCGCTAAATAAGGAATTAAGTCCTGAGTATATTGATTTTGATTTGAGGCAACATCAAAACTGAAAACAATTTCCGGCATCATTGACAGAAGAAGACTCGCTTTCTGAAATGTATTTCCAGATACATTATGAATAGGAACAGTTCGTAAATGAGTTTACGAATGAGCTTATGAGCGGAAATGAGTTCGTAAATGATCCCTGATAATCGACTGTTAATATCTTTTCTCTGTAATTAAAATACCGTGAAAGTTTATTGATATTATTAAAAATTTATCGAAGATTGAAGTCATTAAAGAAATATTTAAGAATTACAAATGCTTATTTTGCATTTAAGAAATCTTTCGCTACTGTCTACAGAGCAGCAGTTGGAGCAATCAAGTATACCTACCTCTACAAATTTCATTGATTCTTTTGCGGACAAAATGCAATAATAATAATAATCTTGAAATGTTGAAACAAGTTTTTCTTCAAAAATACACGTAGAATTTTAATTTAATTCTGTATATGTCATTTTGAAATTTTTTGCTTATCAAGAAGGGAGACAAATTCAGGGACTGCAGATTAAGGCACCGCCCCGGGCGGCAGAAGCTGTAGTTATGCCACTGCTTCATATCTATTCTGATAGTACTGAGTTGATGAGAGAAGTATGCCAGTTTGTTTGTCCTGCACAGGAATAACGCCTGAAGTGTTTTTTTAAGAAAAGATACAGTAAAGCCCAACTAGGTGTTAGGTAACTAATCAACAAAGAACTACTCTAATCTCGGGAGTTCTTTGTGGTCAAAGAGAATAGTCTGAGACAAGTGACGTCAGAACCAGTGGTGGCGAATGGCAAAGGAGATCGTATTGTTCTATGAAGCAAAGAACGTCTGCACATATTCCTTGCTATGAAGTTTCTTTGTGCATGACTTTGGATTCTTAGTTCAGTTGCATTTCTGCTTCAGATCTGAAGGTTGTCTCCGATTTGGAGCATGTGTGAACTTTAGCCCTAGTGTGGATTAACATTAAGATGGTTGCTTTGGAAGATAAACCAACGTATGGAGGCTGCGAAGGCCCAGATGCCGAATACGTGAAACTCATTTTTTCGGATGGTCACGAGTTCATTATTAAGAAAGAATACGCTCTTGTTTCTAACACCATCCGAGCCATGTTGAGCGGTCCCGGAGAATTTGTTGAAAACGAAGCCAACGAAATCCACTTAAAAAAAATACCATCCCACGTGTTGCAGAAAGTTTGTCAGTACTTAACGTACAAAGTCCATTATACGAATAGTTCAACTGAAGTACCAGTGTTTCCGATTGAGGTGGAAATAGCCTTGGAATTGGTGATGGCTGCTCACTTGTTGGACTGTTAATAACCTTGAATTTGTGACTGTTCTCTTTCATGGATTGGACAAATACTTGGTCTTCGCGAAGTGTCTTACGATGCCAGGACCGACGCAAGAAGGTATTGTGATTGTAATATTTAGTCTACCTTTCATTGTAAGATCGAAATTTTTGAGTTAACATTCATTCAAAATTCGGGCTTCCAGGTGCGCATGTTCGGGTAGACGACTACGGTATTCAAAATTAGATGGCTCTATGGTATCGTCGTTTTCACACAATACGAGAAACATCAATCCATTCAGCTTTTTCATTATTTATTTTTTAAATAATATAGGAAGACCCGCTCAGGGAATAAAAGGCTGAGTCAACCTTGCCCAGCACGGGAATGGAACCCCATGCGACGCGCTAGCCACTGCGCCACTGGCCGGCCCTCAGAAAATAAGCCTACCCCTCCTAAAAAAGATTTTCCTGCCATAATTATTCATACCATTTCTGTAAAACTTACTACTTCTAAATTAAAATACAGTGATGCACTTAAGAAACATATCGCCCCAGAATATCAGAAATTATGCAAATTTTCTCAGAACTTAAAGTTTTTCATCCAATCAACAGTATCGCCAGGCTCACCCATCAGATCAGCAACGCCAAAAATACTACCAAAAAAAAAAAAAAAAAAAAAAAAAAATTCTAATTGCTTAAGACACTAGAAATTATACTAAGATTTTCTGAATCACCAAAAATGGATTCTCCTCTATCTCTCTATTTTTCATTGCTCGGTAGAAACTAAATAACTTAGATTGGTAAAGGATTTTGGGTCCTACAAATTTTAGATCCTAGGGAATTTTGTTTCCCTCATGGCTGCTCTGCAGAGATCCACACTTCACGAACACCTTACTGTCAGGTGCCGTATGGGCCTTATTTCATGGAACCGGAACACATCGTACCAAATGCGCGATATTTCCGGAATAAAACATAAAACAAGAAATAGAGTTAAAACAATTTAAAAAAATCTGAAAGGTTTCAGATTTGAAATTGCATCCAAAGGGGCTTTTTTTTTAACGTTTTGTATGTTACCTTTATGTATTAAATATCTTGTTCTTTGCACTTAAACCATAAAATTCAGTTCAACAGCAATGTCGTAGAATAATTTTAAAATGAGCACATCTTTAGAGTTTCCGATACAGTTCCGCGCGCTGGAGATGAAAAGGAGGTGTTTTTTTTTTTTTTTTTTTTTTTTTTTTTTTTTTTTTTTTTTTTTTTTTTGTTTTTTTTGTTTTGGAAAAAATGTTGCCATTGCTCGCTTTTAAATCGTTGAGTTTGTTAATCAAAAATTCGTTAAAATTTTACAAAATATGAAATTGATAATAAAACAAATTCCAAATTTCAAATTAGGGTTTTCAGATGCCCATATTCGCAGTAGCATTATGTCATTCAAAATTGGATGGCTCTAGGTATCGTTGTTTTATCACAATGCGAGAAATATGCATGCGGATTTTTCATTATTTAATTTCTTCAAATATAATGCAGGACTCTAACATTTTAGTCTTCAAATCTTAATTTTTTTTTCAGTCACCTTGGGAAATGGGAACTAATTTTTTTATCGATTCGGATATAAGAAACCAAACTTCGAAAATGCCCCAAAAACGTGTATCAGACTCTTTACGATTAATAATCATTGTGACGAAAATTTGTTTTTAAAGCACTTACAAGATTTGATTTTAAATCATTCACTGCTATTAAATCGCTTGATTTGTCAATCAGTAATTAATTCTGAAAAGAAATATTTCACCCTTTGCCGGATGGCAGTCCACTGGCAGTGGAAGATCAAAATATTTTATTTCAAGATTAACAGAAAATTCGAATTTTGCTTTGCCTAGTGGCATTTCTTTTAAATAGCCAATTGAAACATAAATATCTTACGGTTTCCCAGGCGGCAGCACATTTCTTTTAAATCACTGAATTGGTTAATGAAAATTTCGTAAAATTCGCACAAAACATACAATAAATAAAAAATTCGAAATTAGGTCTCGGAGGTTTAGACGGAGGACTACGTCTCTTCAAAATTGACAAACTCTAGTGCCGCACAATGCAGACAACACACTGTAGAGTCTCATCGTCTTTGGTAACATAAAGTAAGTGAGAACATTCCAAGACTTAAGCGAATTATCGCTATGTCCTGGAAAGACTTGGCTGTAAAAGACCCTTTTATTAAAAACAATAGATTGACAGAAGGCACTGCTCTTGCTTACAGAACCAGCCAGCACTTACGGCGTAACTCGAAAGTAAAGAATTTATCTTAAGTAAATCGTTAACCCAGAGGCTGCACAGACAAAATGCGCGCACGTTGGTTCGTACCTAATATCGGAATGATAAGCTTAATGGCGAGAATAACGCAGATAAACTGCTATCTTCAGCAGACGGTACACGTTCTGATTTTACCCTCTAAAATCTTCCTTTAAATACTATGTCTTTCTACCTTATTTGAATACACGCGAACTAGAAATTAGCGTTCTGGTATGAAAACGGAAATCGAAAAAAGACGATAAAGTTAATTAAAATAAAATAACTGGTTAACACATTCATGCATAATGCATGTAAAATATATTCTGCAGATATCTTGAATTAGAAAACAATTGCGCAGATTCATAAGATGATATTACGAATGAGAAAAACCTGTAAGACGTGGAGTACATTCAACGCATAGTTTTATTCCTTGGTAACTCATTTTTAGTATACATAATTTTTACTCATCATTATTATGGGTGCGATATGCACCCGCACAATTTTGTATAACTTGTAGCATCTTTAGACAATGAATAAAGCGGAGAAATAAGCAGCACATATTAGCACATCGAGAGGAAGGTAAGTGCGCATTTCAGCAAAGAGATATTTATAATGTTGGCTACTTTGTTTAAATTTTGAACTCCGATTGGATAGAAAATATCCGCAATGCTATTCTTGTAATGCAGATTAATTTTCAGATGACGCACTTTAGATTCATATATTAGTAGTTTTAAGACAGGAAAGGACGCTGCCAAATTAAAATGAGGAATTAAAAGGACTCTTGCTAAATTAAAATTGATAGTTTTGTTTCCTATTTTATATCTTACATACATACATATAAACAAAAATACATACATGCAAAGAAACAGAACAAAACAAAAAGCAAGCAGATTTCTCATACGATAATAGAGATGTAAAAATATGTGTATTTTTTTTTTTTTTTTTTTTTTAATTACCATTCCAGAAATCTTCTGCTCACCTTTATTTATCTTGCGTACTAATTTTTATAGCGATTCCTACTCCCATAGGAATTCCAAATAAGCTGTTCATTGAATGTTTATGGGAATTTGCATATTCATTGCTTTTAATCGATTGTCTGAGATGCGTGGGAAAACAAAAATGAATGTTAATCCTCTTCAGCTATTCAGTTCAACATTCACGTTTAACTGGAGGGCACAAACGAGGGCTGCGTGGTTCCACCTACTTACCAGCAATACACATCTGCTAATGAGCCTCCGGTCTGCGCTCTGTTGTGGCTACCAAGCCTTCAATTTGTGTATGGATACCAATCATTTGGTGGGCTGGACAAACACTTACGGCGCTCTCGCGTGCCTTCATCATTTCGCACACCTCACCTTGGCCCGATTGTTTCTCACGATGTTTTATTAATTCCTTCCTTATAATGCATTAAAGCGTATAACTGCCTATTACGTTAGAATAAAATTAAGAAGATTATTGTCAAAAGTGAAGAAAAAAAGGATAAAATGTATGTTTACGGAGAAATCTAACACCTATTCGAAGATTTTGAAAATGCGGGGAGGGGGGAGGACACTTATAGAAAATTAGACATGAAATTTTCGTATACAATATTTCTTCGCATATCTTCCCCCTCCCTAGCTTTTTAGTGCTAGGTTCTGAAAGTTTAAAAAATATTCGCGTTATTTTTTCTCTTCTGTTTGTAGAAACTTCTTCTCTCTGAGGACTTCTTCTTCTTCTTCTCTCTCTCTCTCTCTCTCTTTTTTTTAAATTATATTTTTCTGGATTATTTTTACTTTTGTTCAATTTGTATTTGCGTTTTTATACTAAACACTGCATCCATTTTATTTTCTCTTGCCCCTTTTATTACTTACAAAGTATTTTGTGCAGATTGTTCCTTAAGGACGTGACAGATCTCACATTTTCAAGAAACTTCCCAAACATGTAATTTCACCTAACTTCTGTTATTTACGTTCCAACTCACTGTAAACCTTATCCACTGCCGATGGGTTCGACTTTTCCAAATCCGGGTGTTTTGTTCGCTTCCCTTCGTTTCTGCTGTGTCCCTTATGGGAACACCGGTCAAGACTTATTCATGTGAGATGCCCATAGGGCTTTATACCGTTATTTATCGATTAGTATCCATAGCCGATTACTAGCATTACTAAACCACATCCAGGCACTTGAGACCTGGCTAATTAGATGGAAAGTGGATATCAGTGTAGACAAATCTTCAGCTGTTCTCTTCACTGGGAAAAAGTAGATTGGTGGAATTGTAACTATTCCTCCCTGCCGTGGGCTAGGCATGTCACTTATCTCGGTGTAAACCTCGACAAAAATCTCACATGGTCCCCACACATACAATCTACTATTATCCAGAAGCTCCGGATCCCCCTTTTCTCATTAATTGCCTGGAACGTCCCTTTATCTCTAGACAAAAAGTTACACATTTACAAACCCATATTGCGCCCCATGCTTGGTTATGTCAGCCGTGTTTGGACTTACTGGTTGGTTAACCATAAGCAATACTTTGTAATAATTCATTAAGTTTATAAGGTATTTCTCCCTCCTTCTTAACATGCCTTCGTAGTGTAGTGGTTAGCACGCTGGGCACATATTCCAAAGGTCCGTGGTTTGCGTTCCGGCGAAGGCATTGCTCATTTTTCATCTCTCCTGCGTAGAAATTACCTAATGTCTCTACAGTGGCACCCGAACTAAAAGAATGGTGGATGATGATTCTCCACACCCAAGATTTGGCAATTGGGTCCCCTAAAACCCAAGTCGCCTTTTAAAAGGGGGATATAAGGTATTTCTCCCGCCATCTTGGCATGCCATCTTAGTCTAGTGGTCAGCACGCTGGGCGCATATTCCAGAGGTCCGTGGTTCGATTCCCAGCGAAGGCCTTGCTCATTTTTCACTTCTCCTGCTTCCCCCCCCCAAAAAAAATTCTTTAATGTGTCTACAAGTTTCTGTATTTTGTTTTCTACACCATACAAATTTCGTAACTTTTTATAATCTATTTCTTTATTTATTTTATTTCTTCTGCATTAATGAATTATAAAAGTTGCTTATAATTATTCCACTTCTTGTATCACTATGCGCTTTGATTTGTACTTAAAAAACTTTTAGCAGTAACCTCATGCCACCAGTTTATCCCCAACTGTTACATTTTATGTACGAGACAATGTCCTTGTATTTCATTTAATTCTGAAGTAACTCCTTATGATCAATAATTATTCGGACCATGCAAGGTTGGACCTCGAGTCCAAGTCTTCCGCTGCTAACACCACTTCTACACTGAAATGAAAGTTCGATATCTGATGGATATTGTAATGTAAATATTACTAGGTTTTTTTTTTTTTTTTTTTTTTTTTTTTTTTTTTTTTTTTTTTTTTTTTTTTTTTTTTAAGAAATAATGTTTGGACA